ATTCCGGTCAAGGGTTCGTACCTGGGCTGCGGTTCGTCCTCGGCCCTGGTCGGGTCATGCAGGAGGCAACCACTCGATGTGTCTCTATCACATCAATGTTTCTCTCTGACTTTCTCTCTCCTCCCTCCCACTCTATCAAATGATAAATAGAAAAATATCCTTGGGTGAGTAATAAAAAAATAAAAGTAGAGAACAAAATGGTAGAAAACAGAATGAAAAAAAAAAAAGAAAAATTTGGAAAGTTAAAACATTTAACTTGCTGGAGGCATAAGAAATAATGTTTACTGTTCTAAACAGAGAATTTTTTAAATGACAGTTTGGTTTCTTCAAAAATTAAGTAACATTTATGGAGAGAAGAAGGGAGAGGGAGAGAGAGAAACACTGATGAGAGAGAAACATCAACTGGCTGCCTCCAGCACCCCACCCCCCACTGGGGATTGTGACCTGACCAAAAATGGACCTAGCGACCTATCAGTGCCTGGGACAGCGCTCAACCAACTGAGCCACACTGGCCAGGGCTTGGGTATACTTTTGAACTGTGATCCATTTCAAACAATGAACTTATTTCTTGTTAAAAGAATTAACAATGACTCAATAATATCTGTTAAAAGAACCTCATTCCTCAGTAAACAGCCAAGCAAGTCAAAGATAACACAAGTATTATATTAACAGAAATCAGAGCCACAACACACACTACCTTTGACTGTTGTTCAAAGATTTTAAAATGCTTACTTCTGACCCAGACCATCCTGGCAAAAATCAATTCATGGTCAACCAGCCCACAATTAAGAGATAAACAAAAAGGCTATGGAACTGCACTGGCAACAATATAGATGCAACGTGAAAACACGTGGGTATGCTGTAACTTCCCAAGATCCCGTTCACATTAGGCTAGGTCTGATATGACTGGGGGTGAGCTAAAGCATTTATTCAACTCCACATGTGTTCTCTTAATAGCCTAGAACAGTGGTCTTCAACCTATGGGAAGCAACCCCTTTGGGGGTCAAATGACCCCTTTCACAGGGGTCGCCTAAGACATAACAGTAGCAAAATTACAGTCATGAAGTAGCAACAAAAATGATTTTATGGTTGGGGGTCACCACAACATGAAGAACTGTATTAAAGGGTCGCGGCATTAGGAAGGTTGAGAATCACTGGTTTAGAAGCTTTAAAGTCCTAATTCTGGAAAAGGGTCTTACAGTGACTCTAGGACACACACATTATAAACAAACACCATCACACTGAAAACCAGAGATTTCCAGTTCCCAGGTACCTATTAACAAGCCTCATTGCTACCATAGAATTCCAGTGCAGATTAAACAAAAGCAATCCCTCCAAAATTCACCCTAACAAGATTTCTGTCTCCAAAGAAAAAAGTTTAAGATGAGACTATCTAAAATCATTTCCTTAAAAGAAAGAAAAATTCCCACCTTCTAACCTTCTCGGTGGCCATCACAACAGAAAATTACAAATAAAATCCTTATAGAGAAAACAGTTTCCTGCCCCTAAGGAGGAAGAAGGTTGATGTGATCTGATTTAGAGACAACTCTTTGGTATTAAAATGTTTTGAGAACGCCAAGGCTGTTTAACTCTGCCTCAATCAAAGAAAAGGGTTAAATGGCAAGCGAGATGGGTAAGGTTGGTTCAGCACTGGAACAGGTTATTAAGAGTAATGAAATTCTCTTCCTATGATGTCTACCTGGCCTTGATGATTTATTCTTTCCTTCTTAGTCCCTATTTTCAACCTTTATTAATAGATAAACCACCAGTCTCAACAGTATTACACATACTACCAAAGGCTCACATTACGGGGTTTTGTGTGCACAGCCGAGACACTATGAACTCAGAAATGGCACTTTAAGAGCAAGCCCGGCCCCTACTGGGGCCACACCAGACTCTGGTCTACAACATTGCTACCTGCTTGTCTTGACCCTCTTCTGACCCCTGCTTTTCTCCAGTAACAACCCTCGGACAGTCTAACAATGTTACGGCAGGTTTTGTGTCCCCTCCCTAAATTCCTATGCTGAAGAAAAGCTCCAATTCCCAGTAACTCAGAATGTGAGTGTGTTTGGAGAGAGGACCTTTAAACGAATGACCAAGTTAAAATGGGGTCACTGGAGATGGGCCTTAATCCAGTATGGCTGGTATCCTTTTAAGAAGAGATGCCCTGGCCAGTGTGCCTCAGTGGTTAGAGTGTCAGCCCACACACTGAAGGGTCACAGGTTCGATTACCTGTCAAGGGCACGTACCTGGGTCGCAGGTCAATCTCTGGCCCCGACTGGGGCACAAGTGGGAGTCAGCCAATCAACGTGTCTCTCTCACATCAATGTTTCTCTTTCAAATCAATAAAAGCATGTTTAAAAAAAGGGGGGGGGGTGAGCAAAAGAAGCCAGATACAAAATATACATTCTGGCCCGGCCGGTGTGGCTCAGTGGACTGAGCATTGCCCCATGGACTGAGAGGTTCTGGTTCAATTCCCGGTCAGGGGACATGCCAGGGTTGCAGGTTAGATCCCCAGTGGGAGGAGGTGACCAGTCAAGGTTTCTCTCTCACATCAGTGTTTCTATCTCTCTCTCCCTTCCTCTCTCTCTAAAAAGTCAATAAAAACGTATTTAATTGTTTTTAAATTTTTTTTCATTATTGATTTTAGAGAGAGAGAGGAACAGAGAGGGAGAGAGACATAGAAACATCGATGAGAACATTGACCGGCCACCTCCTGCATGCCCCCACTGGGGATTTGACCCACAACCTGGGTATGTGCCCTGACTGGGAATCGAACCGGCAACCTCTTGGTGCATGGGTTGACGCTCAACCACTGCGCCACACCAGGCGGGCTATAAAAACATATTTAAGCCCTGGCTGGTTTGGCTCAGCAGTTAGAATGTTGGCCTGCGGTCCAGAGAGACCGGGGTTCAGTTCCCGCTAAGGGCATGTACCTCGGTTGCAGTTTGTCCCTGGCCCTGGTTGGATCATGTGGGTGGCAACCACTCAATGTGTCCCTTTCACGTCGATGTTTCTCTCTCCCCCTCCCACTCTATCTGAACAAAAAATGGAAAAATGTCCTCGGGTAAGGATAAAAAACAAAACAAAACATATATACTGTATAATTCCATTTAAATAAAGTTCAAGAACAGGCAAAACTAATTTTTGGTGAAAGAATTCAGAATAGTGTGGGAGTGGGGTGGAGGGAATGGAGTATGGGTATTTTCAGAGAAGGGCACAAGAGGATCTTCTGGGATACTGGAAATGTTCTCTACCTTAATCTAAAGGTGGTGTATACACAGGTATGTACACCTATAAAAAAATCCATCGAGCAGTATACTTGAGACTTGTACACTTTACTGAATACATGTTATACTTAAGAAACCCACTTTGTATATTACGGTCCTAATCTACTTTCCATCCAAAAAAGTCAGTGCTCAATTCATGTTTATGGCTGCATGCCTAAATATCTTTTGAACAATAATAATCAATCTACTATGTTCATATAAGACAAGAAAAGTCTCAGCAAGCAATCGCAATCAAAGTCTTCAGCTGGAGTTAGGCTAAAGAACACCATCATCCCCTTATATAAGCAGAAAACACTTCTGCCCCAAAGTTGCAGTGCACCTGCAGGTGCTAAGTGGATAGCAATTTTTCCCTCTTAAAACTGGCCCAAAACAAAATCCCTAGGTGACCAGTCCTACTGTTGAGGCACAAAATACCAATGGCATTTTAAGACACTAGGGGAAAAAAAGAAATTTTACAACTGGAAGCCCTTACCATTACGTTAAGAATCTAGACACATTGGCAACAATATCAGAAGAAAGCTTGTGTCCATTTCTCTAGCAATTATCACTTAATTTAATTATTCTGCAACTGTCTATCTACTTGGCAAATGCCTGTTCATCCTTCAAAACCAAATCCAGATGTTAACTCTTCCGGGAAGTTCTTAACCTCCCACTCTCCTCTATGTTCCTTTTACTGTTCTACTTACTTTGTTTCACTGCAATTTAAATATTGGTCATGTCTATTTTGGCTTTCTTACACTTCGAGGTTGTGATCACATCTCTCACTCCAGCACCAAGTGCATGGCAGGGTACCGTAGAGGCATGCATGGATCTGTTGAACTGACTTGAACTATGACTACCACTGAACAAGCCCTACCATTTAAATGTCCAACTACAGAGTCCTAAAATAAGTGGTATTTCCCAGATAAGGCACAGTCTGTACTCAAGAAGAGAGAGTGAAAAAAAACTATAAATATTCTCTAGGACAATGTTATTTTTAGTATTGTAGTCACCAGCCTCTAAGAGTGAACTTCAGGGAGGCAACCTAGAGACTAAATGACTTAAATGAAGACCGTGGGATCTCCCAGAGGCTATGCTCCCGAAGAGAGGCATGGTGCAGAAGCAGTGGGTTCATTCACTTCAAGGAAGGGTCTCCAAGGGCCTGCATTTATATTACATGTAAGAACAAGTAACTGTGTCTCTTTACCTCCCTGTGTCTCAGTTTCAGTTTCCTCACCAGTAAAACGGGGGCGGGAACCAAACCCGGGTCTCTCTGGTCCGCGCGGAGGGCTCTAACTGCTGAGCCAAACCGGCCAGGGCTCAGGCTCTACTTTCTAACATTATCAGTGGTTCTCAACCTTCCTAACACTGCGACCCTTTCATACAGTTCCTCATGTTGTGGTGACCCCCAACCATACAATTATTTTCGTTGCTACTTCATAACTGTAATTTTGCCACTGTTATGAATCGCCTTTGGAAATATGTGTTTTCCGATGGTCTTAGGCGACCCCTGTGAAAGGGTCGTTCAACCCCCAAAGGGGTCGTGCTCCACAGGCTGAGAACAGCTGCATTAAATCAATCTTCCGCCCACTGCCCCCATAGCAGGTCGGAGCAGTGTGGGCGGCGGGAGACGTGGCAGCAGCCAGGCAGCCCGGGTTCGCGAGGCCACAAGGTGCCCTGTGGCCCTCAGGCACTCAGCACGCGCCGCCCCGCTGCCAGCTGCCAGCCATGATGCCCAAGAGGAAGGTTAGCTCCACCGAGGGGGTGGCGAAGGAGGAGCCCAAGAGGAGGTCGTCGGCGAGATTGTCAGCCAAACCTGTTCCTGCAAAAGTGGAAACGAAGCCAAAAAAGGCGTTGGGAAAGGATAAATCTGCAGACAAAAAAGTGCAAACGAAAGGGAAAAGGGGAGCAAAGGGAAAGCAGGCCGAAGTGGCTGACCCAGAACCTCAAGATCTACCCGCGGAAAATGGAGAAACTGAAAACGAGGAGAGTCCAGCCTCAGATGAAGCAGGAGAGAAAGAAGCCAAGTCTGATTAATATCATGTACCCTGTCTGATCAGTGGTCTCCGTCTCCCTTCTTGTACAATCCAGAGGAATCTTTTTATCAACTATTTTGTAAATGCAAGTTTTTTAGTAGCTCTAGAAACATTGTTAAGAAGGAGGCGCCCTGGCCGGTTTGGCTCAGCGGTTGGAGCGACGGCCTGCGGTACAGAGAGACCCGGGTTCGGTTCCCGCTAAGGGCATGTACCTCGGTTGCAGTTTGTCCCCGGCCCTGGTTGGTCGTGCGGGTGGCAGCCACTCGATGTGTCCCTTCACATCGATGTTTCTCTCTCTCTCTCTTCCTCTCTCCCTCCCGCTCTATCTGAACAAAAAATGGAAAAATGTCCTCGAGTGAGGATAAGGAAAAAAAAAAAAGAAGAGGAGGGAATTCCACCTCATCCCATTTTTAAAAATGTAAATGCTTTCTCTAAAGAGGTGAAATCATTTGCTGGTTGTTTATTTTTTGGTACAACTAGAAAATAGTGGGATATCGAATATGGGAAGCTTTGATTGTCTTGGGTGTCAGCTTCACATTCCATAGATGGGGGAGGTTTTTATATCCTGTAATACAAAGCATACTGAATGGCAGGTTAGAGTCAGTTGTGCATTTAATATGTCTGGAACATTTTTAATTACTTCTATTCCCATGTTTTTGGTATAACTGTTTCCTAAAGAAACCACTTCTTGATTTCATGATCTTGGCTCTCCCTGTCAGAAGTCCGTGCACTCTGGAACACCTCTGGCGTGGTAGTCCAGTTTTCCTAGTAACTTTGTTAATGTGCTGTGAAAGATTGAAAATTTGATTATGCAGTATATATGATATTAAATTGTGAATTAGTGGGACTTTGATGTAACAGCGTATCAACATTTGAAGATATTGGTAACTGATACTCTATTGAGGAAAATTAGCCTCCAAATTTTAAGCTGGAAGTCACTGGAATAACAGTTTAGAAAAGAATCACAACTATATGACTTTACATTTTTGGTATGTATGTTAAGAATTGTGTACAAATTGAAATGTCTGTGTACTTATCCTCAAAACAAACAATAAAATCTCAATTATAAAAGAATTATTTGAAGCACATGAAAAAAAAAAAAAAAGAAATCATTCTTCCCTCTCTCCACCCTACCCTTTTATTCTCTTTCTTGTTTCAAAAGAGAGAGGATGTTGGCACCACAAATCATGGAATGAAGATGCCCAGTTCACCTTCCTGGAAGGCAAGCCCTTTGGTTGCTACCAGAGCAGTTTTACTTGTGGGCTTAAAAAGCTCACTGCAGCTCTGGCCAGTGTGGCTCAGTGGGCTGAGCACTGTCCCACGCCCCAAAGGTTGCCGGTTCCATTCCCAGTCAGGGTGCCTATAGGACAGAATCGATCAATGTTTCTCCCTCTCTCCCCCCTTCTTCCTCTCTCTCTAAAATCAACAGAAGTTTAAAACGTATTTAAAAAATAAAAATTAGAAGTTCACTACAGCCCTCCGTTTGTCTGCCATGAGCTCCCAACCTTCAGTCTTCATTCCACCCCAAGGGGTGAACCTGCCAGTTTGGTCAAGTTCAAGGGTATTTAATGAAACAAAGTCCAATGACTACAGTGAGCACTGTGGTTCAAGGTTAGGGTTCTGGCCACCTCTTTCTGTTCACCGCTCAGGTGGACAAGGGAGTCTCTGCACCAGCCATGCCGAGGCTCTGCTCTTCTTGCTGGCTGTCATGCTTCTGCAAGTCAGTCAGTCATGACCAGCATTTCTTTTTAAATTAAATAATATACACAATACAACAAGTGAATTTTATGGTATGTAAATTATCTCGATAGTTATTTTTATAAGAATACAGAATAAAAATAGAGTACATAACAAGCAGAAGAATAAATATTGAGTATTAAAACCTTTGTATTACATATGTGTATACTGGTCACAATACAGCATTGTTGTTACTGTGAGTTATGGTCACAACAAAATTACGGAACTGTAGTTTCAGTAGTCAGATATGAGCCTAAGGTAAACTGTGGAGAGAGAGAGCAAGCAGACTCTGGCCTGCTTTGTCTCTAGGCGTTAGACTGCCTTCCAGCTCAGGTTAAAACGTGCATTCTCAATGAGATACTATCACCCACGGGAGACAAAAATTGGTTCTTGGGGGCTAAAATATCTTATTTGTTTATGTATTAAGAAGACATACACACATAAACAGATATACTATATTTGTGGTATTAAAATTTCATGGGTAGAAAGGCGATGATGGTAAAAAAAAAAAACAAAAAAAAAACTGTCTATCCTGGCCTGTTGCTCAGTTGGTTAGAGCACTGTCCCGCTATGCCAAGGCTGTAGGTTCATTTCCTGGTCAGGGCACATGCAGAAATCAACCAATGAGTGTATAAATAAATGGAACAATCATTAGATGTTTCTTTCTCTCTCACTCCCTTCCTTTCTCTCTTTCTGAAAAAAAAATTTTTAATTGTCGAAAAAGGCTCCTTAGGGGATTAAGAAAAGTTGAGAAACACTGGGTTAAAAGGACTCTTTTCATGAAGCCTAACTTCCAAAGACTCCATATTCAGCCAGAAACAGTGTTGTTAGCAAGGCCTACTGCCTGGGTTTCACCTTGGGGGGAGGGATGGGGGTGGTTAGGGAGGGCAGGGGCCGGTAAGGGACATGCCTAATGTTCCATCTCATTCTTACCCCCACCCGATATTCAAACCAGTGCTCAGGTTTACATGAAAAGATAAGTTTTGCATGTGGGCAGGCAGGTGAAGCTGCTGCTAAGCATGTGGCTGAAAATGAGGATTTGGAGCACAAAAGAGGGTGGGGATGGAAACAGATTTTCAGACTCGTCAAGAGTTGAAACAGGAAAGAAGTCATTTGCCAAGGAAGGAGTGTAAAAAGCAACAAGGGCAAAGGACCAAAAGGACTCGGACCATTGGAATATTTAAAGTGGAGTAGGGGTAGGAGGTCCTTAATAGTTTAAAAAAAAAAAATTAGAACCCATGAGCTGTAAAAAGACATGGTCGTGACGATCTGTGGTCTTCAAGAAATAGCAGATGACTTCTAACCCTCAATGTTTCAGATTTAGTCAACTAGAAAAATCTTCTCAAAGTCTCTCTAACATTATACATTTTCTTAATTAAGCACCTGGGCAACCTGAATGGCTTTAATCCAAAACTGGGAAAGAACTCTCTTCGTCCAGGATGAAGCCTCTTGCAGCTTCAGGAAGATGTGCACAGCAGGTCCGCACTGGGTGCGAAGTACACCTTCTAGAACACTGCCAATCAGTCTAAGGCAGCCAACTCCCGGCCGTGGTGGGGGACATGGAAGGAGGTAAGCAGATGAGAAGGACGAGAAGCTGGGCCATACCACCCTTTAGAAGAGGTTTTCATTTTCATTCCTGGAACCCTGTGATAACCAGAGCACACAAACTGATACTGAAAGGTAAGGACATATGACAACTTAATACAATGCATGATCCTGGACTGGATTCTAGATCAGAAAAAATAAAAAAGCTAGAGAAGATGTGAATGAGAAGATTTAAATACGGGCTACATGTTTCATCTGGCTTCATATCAAGTTTCCTGAGTAATATAAACTATAGTAGAGTCATATACCCTTTCTCTCAGGATAAAGCTGCAGGAATCAACCTGCATCGTTTAGGGATGAAGTGTGATAATGTCTGAAAATAACTCTCAAAGGATATGGCTAAAAAGAAGAGTATACAGATATAGACAGAGGAAGCTATCAAGCAAATTTGGCTAAATGTTAATAACTGGTGAATCTAGGTTAAAGGAGAGATGGGTGTATAGTACTATTCTAGTAACCTGCTGTAGGATTAAAACCTCTGACTCCTCAGTGGCAAAACAACTCTAAACTCCCTACCAGGGTCTTCAAAGCCTTGTAATGTCTCCCAGCTACTCCTCCAGCCCCATCACCCTCCACAATTCCACAGCTCTCCACTGGACTCCAGCCACAACGGACTTACCATTTGCCTCTATGCATAAAACACTCTCCAAACTTAGACACTAATCCCAGTCTTTGACTATAAACTCCAAATCAACTTTCAAAAAAATTATTTAAAAGTGTCTTCCTGCCAGGCTGGTGTGGCTCAGTGGTTGAGTGTTAACCCATGCCCCAAGAGGTCACCGGTTCAATTCCCAGTCAGGGCACATGCCCAGGTTGTGGGCCAGATCCCCAGTGGGTGGCATGCAGGAGGCGGCCAATGTTCTTTCTCATCGATGTTTCGCTTGCTCACTCGCTCTCTCTCTCTCCCTCTCCATTCCTCTCTCTCTAAAATCAATGAAGAAAAAAATTTTTTTTTTAAAACAGTGTCTTCCTTTCAAAAAGCCTTAACCAGCTACCCTGGGTAGATGGTTGCTCCTTCTTGCGTTTGAACAAAACTTTGGACAGAGCTCTAATCTGACATCTATCATGATGTCTCTAGAAGTAGTTTACATTTCTATCTCTTCTAATAAACTGTGCATTCCTCAAGAACAGAGACCAAGTGCATGTATCTTCAGGTTCTCAGTGCCCAGTAATGGAAAGTTCAATAATTACTTATTAAATAAACGGTCATCACATACTGTAGAATAAACAAGCAACAACATGAGGAAAGAGAAAGGCAGTTCAATATGAAATACCAAATTAGTTATAGAAGCAAAATCTGACTCCCAAAGTGTAGAGGGAAGGAATGCTTCTGAGAGACACACGGGGGGAAGGCCCCATGAAGACACTGGGACTTATTCTCAAGTCTCAAAGGAAGGAAAACAGATAGATAGGCCACGAGCAAGGGGCAGAGAACTAGGGGCTGGGATAACAGCTCAGACATGGCACCTGGCCCAGGAAAAAGCCATTTAGCTCTGCCTTGGGTTTCCTCAAAAGATACCCTAAAGAAAACTTTAGAAATTAATCGTGCTTTTCTTGGTTATATAAATCTATTCTCTCTCATTATCCTGATTTTTTTTCTCTCTTATCATCGCTTGATACATTCTGGTTCTGCATATTCAAATACAAACTAGAATTTAA